CAGATTACATCAGCTGCCTCTAATAATTCTTTTTCTGCTGCTTTCTTTAGTAATCTATAACGTTTTTCGTCAACGCTAGACAATTCACCAGTCTCATCCTTTAGTTGTTGCAACTTTTGCAATTCAGTATTCGTCTCCATGTTCTTGATTTGATTATGCAAGGCAAGAAAGCTTACTGGTGAATCAATTGCTTCTCGTGACTTCGCACAGAGTCTCACAACCTTTAAATTCGATTTGTGTATCTTTTCTGTTAGTTGATCGACAGCCGTGTTCGAAGGAGCACATACTAATACAGGACCACCGTTTTGTTTGACAAGTTGATAAACTATCGTAGCGCTGGTTACAGTTTTTCCCGTGCCAGGCGGTCCCTGAATTAGAGACAAGGGTCTTTGTACAGCGTGTTTCACGGCATATACTTGTGAACGATTTAAGTCTGGCAGATTCGGAGCACTGAAATGTTTAGGAAGATGACAACGAAACAAAACTTCTTCCACCTCGTGTCCTAACAATCTATGGTATATGTAACCGGATACAGAAGTGTCGTCCACAGCAAATTTCCGCAACGCTAACTGCATGCTATTATAAAAAGGATGTTACGTTAAAAGAAGCATATCTCTAGATAAAAATGAGAAGTGTCTGTAAACTACTTACCGATCGAAACTAGTGCTTTTCCAAATAAAATCAACGACGAAGTTACTAACACACTCTGTTGGGGCGCCAGAATTATTTTTCAATTCGATCCCTACTTCCTCTCCATAATTATCAGGGATCTTGATTACATGTCCAATTCCAGACCAAGGCTTGTGAAGTTCACCCAAGTAGCGAAGTCTTAGTTCATCGCCGTGCATCAATTTCATATCGCCGTCTGTTTTTGCTAACATGAAATAGGCGATTGTCTTTTTGTTTAGTCCAACATCCCAACGTACTTCGATGTTTTCTTGCGTTTGAGATTCCTTTAAACGTTTATCATAATCGGCTTCTAATTTTACGAGAGGGCCAAATATGTTCTGATACTGGTATCCATCTTCGTACCGCAAAAGTACTTGTTGCGGTTCTTCATCTACACCAGGTTTCTCAAGATCTTGAAAGGTCGCGTCAACATTGTCTCGCCATAATTCCTCTAACTTATTGATTTGTTGGGCAGAAATTTGTCTGGCACGTAATTGTTCCTGTTCTGATGGAATTTTAACTAACCAAGCTAAAAAGGATCGGTCTTCTATCAATGGCTTCCATTGTTCGTGATCCCTATAATATTAAAACAATATTAAATATGATAGTAATTTATTACAATTGTAATTTTTTCTAAAAATGATAATTACCAATTCATATCCTTCAATGAACTCTGAGCTGCACATGGTTGGCGGCAGAGTAATACAACAACAGAATCTGCTTTTGCAGGAATGAAGCCAAGAACGAAGACATTCCTAACAGCACAAGAGTAACACTCAAGGACAGTTTCCCCCAAAGGACCATCTCTGTAATATAAATCTCTTATGAAATAAAAATCATTCTATACAATTGAGTTGTGTAAAATATAATACCTGTGTAAAGTAACTTCCTTATGTTTAGCTCTGACAAGGTGGTTGATAATGTGAGAACCAGATGTATTTCCACGTCCGTTACAGAACCACTTGCGGCAAACATTGCACATAACAACACAAGATGCTTCATGAATACCACAATATTTACATGCATGTTCTGGCAAATCACGATTGTAATATGCCTCCTCTTCTTCTTCTTCAAACTGCAATTCCGCAAGACTTTGTGCTGCTCCAGATATCTTCAACTCCAAAGACGAGCTGCCACTTGTTCCATTAACCTAGAAACGAGCCATATATGCACAAAAATTATCAATAAATACTTACTGCTATATACAATTAAATTCTGCATCAAATTTACGTAATTAATCTTTGTTTATTTATCGCTTATTTCATCCGTTTTTTCAAAATCCTATATAAAACAATTATGCCATATTTTGTTTATAATATTGATATTACATTATTATTTTTCCTTTCATACTTAAAAATATTAATTCTAAATCGGAAACAATTCAAACAATTCACCTTGCATAACACTATGAAATGTTCTCCATATAAGAACCTAACCTCTAATCATAGAAAAACTACTAATCACGTTTGGAAAACCTGATTTAAATATACGATTTCTGTATTTACAACAATCCATACATCGCAAAAATCATATTTATTAGTAAATCCTTTCAAATACATATCGTTAAAAGTAAAAAAGGGAAGGCCAGAAAACTCCTGCTAAGGCGTGGACATAAGGAACTAATGTATGTCGGGAATTAGTAAAACTAAACCCGGATTGAGGTTAGGTGGCATCCGCGTGATTGAGAAAAAAAACCTTGTACACGGGCGAACGAAGTGAAGAAACAAAAGTATAGGTTAGAGATCGAACGTGGTAGACGTATGGTCAGTGAAAAAACGAACCTGTACGGGTTGGTTAGGTTGACTTTGGGCAGCATCGTGTTGCGAGGCCTGAGTTTGACTCGGTGAGGGTAACGTGAAGTCAGTGAAGTCGAATTCGCTACCCTGTGTATCTGCACCAATTAAATCAGTTTCTTCGGTGTCTAGAAACGTCAGAGTCTGACTGCTGGGTCCGTATGCGTCGACGCTCATCCTGTACCGATACTCAATGTGTCCTTTTCGTGCCCTGCAAGAAAATAGAGCTGGCTCCGATTCTGTGAAGCGCCGAATACGCCAGTCGTGATAAAATAACGCAGCACAACATACACAAGAATACGATAGTGTGATTTACCGTTAGCAAAATGTAGAGAAACGAAAACCACCACGAACGATAGCGAGCGAACTCTGAAACACTGCTCAATGAAAGAGGCCAAGACAGAATCCTACGCCATACTTCGTCTCGCGCAAGTCTCGCGCCCACCAACACCGACACGAGTATACAACTAACTTCTCTTCTTGCGCTCGTCGTGTGTTACGTCATCAGCTGATTTCCAAGTGCGTCCCAAAGAGAGAGAGAGATTGAGATCGAGACTGAAGGTTGTGGGGAATTCCAACAACTTTTCTATTTGGCAACGAAGATTGCCTTTCTCGCGTTTTGATTCTCCGTGACGATCTCTCTCGAATTTTTCATTGGTTAAACTCGTTAAACGTATGATAAGCGCCGGTTTTCGTCGCATCCCGATAGATGGCGATAAGACTCCGTTGATACAAGGTGTGAAGAGTATGGTAGGAAAGCCATAAACAGAAGAAAAGATAAAGATAAATAGACCGCTCATGCATTTATAGAAAATTTGAAAGTATAAAATTCCACAGAATGTACAATATATAAAGTATCCACAGTATAGTGCTTTTTATAATACTTGGTAAGTGAAACAATTTTCTATCGAAGTTTTATTTATTAAATTATATTCTCAAAAATATGAATTTGCATAAAAACCTACAGTCTAGAGACAAATAACGAGGTCTCTCTTTTCTTTCCTATCTGTTAGAAACAAAAGCTGATAGAAAAAGAAAAAAAAACTACGTTAATGAGATATTATTATTTTCTTATTGTAAGTTTATTATTGTTTCTTCTGTATTATATATTTTTATTGTAAGTTAATAAACCTCTAAATGGTTCATGTTCACATAACATTTTTTGCTTGATTATATCCATAGAATATAACTATGAGATTTGGCTTCTGAAACATCCTATATAATTATTGGCGGGAAGACGTACGTTAAACACAAAAATTGTTTTTACCATAATAAAAGCGATATTAGTCTATGTAAAAGTCTGCTGTACGATAACAGAAAATGTAATCTCCAGTGGAAAATAGTATGTTAAGTTTTAGTTATTATTTTTATTCTGATTTCGTTATTAAGGTAGATTTTAATTTCCTACAGTAGATGTCGTTTTTCTTAATATCGCTTTAATAATTGGCAAAAAATGAACAAAATTGTTTGTTAGAATATTTAACATACGTATTTATTTTGATTTATTTTCCGTAATTATAGCAAAAAAATAAGCAAATAATTCGTTGTTTTAGGGATGTTTATTGTCGAATCTTTTTGCTAGGTACGTACATATATAAAGGTAACAATAATCCTACTAGTCCTATAATCTATAATAAAAATAATAAATATAAAATTCAATATATACAAAAGACTATAAAAGACTGTTTCTCGAATTCTATCGTTCTTTACTTTCTCCAAATATTAATTCATAAATGCTCATACTTTCGTCCATTACATTAAATTACTTTATACCATATTGACTTTATCTCTTAAAATATAGTATCTTAATACATACATTGTATGATGTTTAAATAGTATAAAGTTTGTCTCACTTTGTTAGACCGAAAATCGATCATATCGATTTATACGAAACAGAGCAGTGCAGCAAAAATTCTCAAATTTGATCTTCGATATATAATACTCTTCTTTTCTTTCTATAAATGTCATATATAAAAAAGTATTTGTGAGATCAGTCTTGTGTGACAAAACACTGATTAAAATTCTAATCAGTTTGCTTTATCGATTGATTCAAAAGTTAAGAGTTTGATAATTAACGATTCAAAAATCAAAGTTTATTGCTTTCGAATGTCTTCCAGATAGCCGTACAACGATCAATTAAAAAATTAATCTAATAATGCCCGACGTCGGAGAAAGTGAAAGGCCTATATGTCCCATGGTGGGAAACAATAAAATAGCTTCTTCAGTTCATTCAATTCATCATGACGAATCTCGATAAAAAGATCTTTACAATTGTCACTGAAAGCTATCAATACTAAATCCATTTCTAGGGAAATACGGTAAACATTATTATTCTTTCCAAAGTCTATGGGACATTGTAATCTAACCATTATCAATATCAGTATTATTTTCTAGGGTATTCCACTCCTCTATATCCTCCTGCTGTCATCATCACGCTACAAAATGGCACCACAATATCTTTTTTCCTCAACAAAATCTTCAACTTTAATTCCGAATGACATTCAGTCCTATTCAAGTCCTATTCAAGTCCTATTCAATTTTTATTGTCCAACGAACTTCTCCATTCTTTTGACAATCACTATACGTCTTTCTGAAGCTGCTAACAATCATTTAGCCAATCATGTAGCAGTCTTATAAAGAATGATCACCAAATCCATGAAATTTATAGTCAATATTGAGGATTTGGCGAATTCCTCTGAAAATTATTTTGCTGGTTCTGTTGCAATGGCCCAGCTGGACTGGGTCTTCCTTGTTCGCGGTACTGAGGAGGACCAGGTGGTCCGTTAGGAGGACCCGTTGTTCCAGGAGGTCCAGGTACCTTTCCGTAATTGCCTCGCGTCGAACCTTGATAACTGCCATACGCAGAATCGTCACTGCGTCTAGAAATATGCCCGTACATGCTTTCCGGTCTTCTAGAGTTTGCTGCGTTATCAGAGCAGGTGGATATCGTTCCATTCTGATGTTGCTGTTGTTGTTGCTGCTGCTGCTGCTGCTGCTGTGGCTGATGATGATTTTGAGTGGAAGATTGGACATTTGGACCTGACTGTTGAGAATTCTGACTACTCGGAGGAGGAGCTGGAGCCCGGCCATATATGCTGGACCCCGTAGATACACCATAGATACCATTCTCCCTTGTACTGAGGCTTGTGGAAATTCCTCTGATTCCATAAATGCTCTGCGTGCACTGTTGCAGTTGATTCTGCATATTTTGGTTGGTACTGTTATGATTTTGAGAATTTTGATTCTGACCATTTGATCCATTTTGCTGTTGACTGTCTCTTCCTGAATTTGAACCTATTTGACCTATTCTAATCGGGTATAGACTTTGTGCGGGGGCTAGAGGACCCGGTTTGGGGATCATTAGGCCGTCTCGGGTTCCGGAAGTTGACTTAGCGTATACACTTTGCGAACGATTTAAATTTGCCCTAGTTAAGGGTGGGGACTTACAGTAGAGCGATTTGGTTCCCCCGTAAATGGATTCAACACGTTCTAAGGCTGTCGGAGGCGTACTATAGATCGAGGAAGATGCTCCAGCAACTGGACGATAGGTTGCATAGGCGTTGGGGAATTTGGGACCCGTTGGTTTGTCCAGATCGTCGTAGGTATCCTCGTCGGATCTCATTGATGAATTGTCACCGTCGTCCATATCCCGTGGATCTCTAGATCGTTTGGGATTTAGAACGTACTCGTGAAGAAGGGCTGCCACTGCGCTTCCGGACAGTGGACCTACCCAGTACACCCAATGGTTGTCCCAACGATTGGTGACGAATGCTGGTCCAAGTGCGCGTGCGGGATTTAAGAATGGACTCTGAAATATAATTAAAAATATTTGTTATAATTTAATAGTAATCGATTCATCTATGTTTTTTCTATTTGTATAATTGTTATTCGTGTTTGTTTTATATTTTTTAAACTGTGTACGGGACGGAAGTGATACCGAATATTTTTCTGTTTGGAGTATATTGTACACGCGTTTCGAAGCAGGTGGAACCGAAAGATTGAATTCTTTTTTTCTCTTTTCTTTCTTTCTTTCTTTCTTTCTTAGTCCTCCCTATTCGACATTTCCTTCTCTGCTGAACTGCAGGTGCTGTTTAAAGACACGAACGTGAGGCTGATTCGAAAGGAATCGAGAGCCGCTTTGGATAGACCGGTTACGGAAAAGAATGCGTACAACGGAAGGTAAAATAAGGAAAAAAAGTACTACTTTCTTAGACCTTCTCATACTAACACGATGTTTTTCTCTTTCATCAACGAGAACTTTGTGCTTTAATCGAAGCTTGGACCGAAAGCAGTATATACTTACCGAAACCAAAGTGGCTGCCGTGTAAGCTGCAGCTAATACGCCAGCTGGTTTCGAAGAAACTGACATTGGTAGTATTTTTGAGCATTCTGAGGTAAAATGAGATAGGACGATCAGCACAGAAAGTGCTAATTCTACCAAGAGCCTCTCGATTGGTCCTCCGAGACGACCTACGGAAGTTAAGGTCTGCGTATTGGAAGGTGTAGTCACTCTATAACAAATAAAATTAAGTTATTTAATTATTGAATGCATTTTGTAGGTAAGAAGAATTAAATAAACTTAGGTTATAATAGAAAAATGTAAAAATTATCGATCAGTTTTCCAAAATAATTCCTGCGTATGACGTGTCATAGTGTAATATACAATGATTTTCCTATTGAAGGTTACTGTAACAGCGACACCCGGCGTAGAAGCCCCCTGCAGCAAGTCAGTCCCAGTGGTGTAATGTTTATATTAGCCGGTGCATCGTCGAGCCTATGGGCTTCATTCATCGCCCCTCCCCTTCCCCATCGACGTGTTTCTTTTGTATATAATCTCGTTAATTTTTTCAGTTCGTACAATCACACGGGGCTACAGACACACGACCTTTTGTGTTTTGTACAGTGACCACAATGGTATTGGACATCAATAAGAATTTCATGTTGGCGAATCTCGATTTATAATCACTGCCCATTGATAAAATTAAAATCTTATATTTTATACTTGACGTTTCAAAAATAAAATACTCGACAGTTTATCTGCTAAGAAGAAAAATGACAAAATAGTGGAATTTAGGATTTTAATATTTGAAAGTCATTAGGAATGTTGCTTGCTGAATGTTAATGCGAAGTTTTTTTATAAATATGTTTTAGCACGTTATATAATATTAACATTAATTTCTTTTCAGACGCGAGTCATTTGTCTTAAGTGGATTAATAGAAACAATCAAGTTCAAAGTAATTGATACACGAGATCAATATTAACAAAAAATTAACAAGGTGAACGTGGAAGTGCAGGATATGATGCAGTTCTGAGCGAGAAATGGATCTAATTTTACCGCTAAATGCATTGAATCCCTGTCCCTCTGAAATTTATCGTCACGTGTATCGGCGAAAATTCTCCCCCGTTTAGAGTGTGATGCAGATAGGAGCTCCCTTTCTTTCTTTTTCTTGCTCTATTCAGCCTCTTTATGTCGAGAGGCCTCGTGATCGTGTCACGAGAGAGCGAATTGATGAAATCAGAAATGCAGATCATGACGGCACAATTGGGATTAAATGTATCGTCTGTGGTTGAGGGTGGAAACAAGGAAAAAATGAGATCTCGCATCCCTTTTAGAGCAGCCAGAGTGATAAGCGGATTTTTGATCGATCTTTTTTCTTTAGTAGACAATAGTCACATTGGTCATAGCAACTTTTTATGCTGAAGCTAACGTGGGAAGATGATATTCTGTGAGTTTTTTTTTTAATATCATGATATGATATTATATTATGATATTATATGATATGATATTATTTTTTATATAATCGTAGGTAATTGCTTCTAGAATATACTTTAATATTTAAAACGAGTTTAAAGAGGCCGAAGGGACTTCGTTCCATTTTAATCCCCTTTAAGAGACCCATTTTGGCCCTAGACAGAAAGGGAGCACTCTTTGCACCTACTCTTTGCTGTCAGAGTGCGGACTAGCCTCCATTTTCTCTACTCTAAAAGCCTTCTCGTAACAAAAAGCTACAACCTGAAAATATTTCAAGCAATCCTACTTGAACCTTACATTGGAACTAATACTTAGAAAACCAGTAAATCCTTCGTTTTCTATCATATACCCTTCCCTTATGATTATCGTTTAAGACTGATCTCTCTTTTTTCACAAGTCCAATATAAAATCTGAATAAAACTCTACGATACTTTTTTGGTCCACCGTCATTCGATATTTCTTAGAAGAGTTTTACGAAGAATGCTCCCATAGCTGACAGTCTTTTTCTCACGTTTTCCGCTTGAGAAGCTACGGTCATTCAGCCGCGACTCGTTTCGTCGTTTAATCCTACATGCACTTGACTCGAGAGACCGCGTGCAACCTGTGCCCTATATTCGCATGGGGGTAACCGAACCCCAGAAACACCCTCAAGGATCCAGCGAGGGCTACAACGTTTAAAATAAATTTCAATTCAGAGCCAGAAGGGGTGTGTATCACTTTCACTAGACCTCTGTCGTGTTTAACGAGCTATTGATATCTTCCACCCACCAAAACTCCCCTCTGTACAGTGGTAAGGATATATACGTATGTAAGCTACGTGCTCTAGTCGTTAGCGGCCCCTTTCCTGGCCCCCTTTTTTTGACCAGGAAAACCGCCACATGTGTGTGATATGTGTTAAAGCCCAGGCGAGATCTACAGTGATTCCATTCTAAAGTCTTGCCCTATGGGAAAGTTCAGGTGCTCCAGTGGTTGTGGTTAAACCAGAAAATTAGGTTCACGGTGAACTACCGATGTAGGGCGATCGATTGTGGGAAGTTTTGCAAGAAGCTTGACCAGTCTTCCCTTATGGGACAAACTGTATCGAGTGTTACGCCTGATGGAATTGCATTCAGTGAAATTTTATGGTGTATAGAGAAGCAAGTATTTTTAGCATATTTATTCGAAGGTAGCCTGAATACGGGTAATATTTCTTTCATTCTTTACGGTATCCGGGCCAGTTTCCTGTCACCTTCTTTTTAAAAAATCATAGCGAGGAGATGAGACGATTAATTCCAGACATTTTTCTTGAGAACAGTGCAGTTTCCTGCACGAACATCATCGACTATAGAAATCCAAGGCGACAAAGCACAGGAATTCTTTGAAAGGACAAAACAGTTCGAGCCTCAGATTTCTATCCTCCTCGTCGTGAATGGGAAACATGTGAAAAAGGAGCCAGGAAGTGCGTATACCCACGAGGATCCATTGCGACATAATAAACGCTGCTGACCGCGTTTTTCTTGCTTTTATCCTCTACGTTCGTTCATCTTTAACGCAATATTAGAATCCATTCATTGAGAAAAACTTCTATCAATTAGAAAACTCTATACTCTAAATTATTCCTTTATAAACAGATTCAGTTATGTATAATTAGAAAGGTACGATATTTAATCATCTACTTTAAAATGTTATAAAAAATACCTCCTCCTTAAATTTAAGTATCTAATCTGTGTAAAAGTTTTCTTATTACAATTTTGAAAATTTGTTTAATCAAATGAAACTAATTGCACGTACATATGTTCCTTTAGCCACAAGTGTAAGAACACCAAAGATAATTGACAATGGAGAAAATTTCACGTGCCTATATACAACCGGTTCACTAGGGCGATTATAATACCCTGGCAGATTCATGGCGGCGATATCTAACAATAAGTTCTAAAAGAATCTTATTGACCTGTTAAGACACGAGAGAGAAAGAAACCGTGGCAGCTGGCCTGGAAGATCGTTGCGGATCCTCCTCCTTTATAGAATCCTATATAAATCGTGGACCGTGCCTTTCTACGGGGAAACACGTGCCAGCCACATGTTGCATAAAAGGAATCGTCAGTGGTCCTTTCGAATATCCATAGCGTAAAGTCGCAATCACAAAGGAGCTTTAGGACCTATAAATGATTCTCTTTCGACCGAAGGATACGAAACAGCGGCAGATGTTTTCCTTCTTTATCTCTTCAAACATGTCGAATTCGGTATGTACAGGCGTTTCTTAAGGATATGAGATAACAGTAGTTGTTTCGTCTTCTTTGGAAAAGCTTAGTTAGTCGTTAAAAAGCTTTCGATATTTATAGTATCGTCATTTTGATAAAAAAAAAATTGTTTGTACCAAGATATTATTTAGAATATTTTCAAGTACAAAATTTGTAACTCTAATTAAGCTTGTATAATTTTTAATTCGGATTTCGTATGAATTTGCAATGTGAGTTGTATTAACATTCTGCAAAATCTAAATTTTATCGTATTTGCAATAAAGGTTATATTGTAAAGTGTTTGAAGAAATAGTTTTTAAATAATCTTTTTAGTTGGGAAAGAAATCACGATTGTTCACGCACTCACGTTAAGAAATGGATTTCATGTAGGGCCAACAGGCTGGCTGCGCATGCATCTAATCGCACAACCTACGATCATGGAACGGAACGATTCTTAAGAACGAACACGTGGTTGTGACCATCTGTTAGCATCCTGCTTCGTTCATCCTACCCTAAGTTAGAGCCTTTTCGCCTTGCTAGTTCTTTCCTCCTGCACCTAGAAGATCGACACATAAGCATCAATCCTTTCAAGGCTATTTGATTTCTTAAACTCCAAGGTAATCGTACTCATATTTTCAATCTTTCTCCAAAAGAGAAGAAAATGATATATCATAATTATAACACATTTTTAGGACGAACTGAAAGCTGTTTAAATTACATCGTATAACAGTAAAGTAATGGACCATTAACTAGAAGAGAATTATAGAATACAGAAGAATGAAAAATGCACAGAATAGAATAAATCAATAACATAACGCGATAAACACGACAACAGAACAGATGAAATCCTCAATCCCGAAAATTAATCCTCATAAAATACCAAAAGCAATTTATATCGAGTTTCTCACAGAAGTTTAAACACTAAGGATCTCAGCTTCTTATCACCTTCACCAACTCTTCATGAAACCACTACAAGGAACACAAGGCGTAAACTTTCCCAGCATGCAATACGCTCAAATATTTAGTTTAGGGGGCGACATCGTTCGCTTTTAGCTGAGAGTCAGAGATTTTAAGAGGTGCGTGAAAGACCGTCACATGTTCTCCGCTTTTTTGCTCATCATCAGCCGCTCCGAATTTATTTTTACTAACGAAGAGGTACGTTCTTGCGTCGCCTACTTGTCACAGGACACCGTCGACGACTGGAATAACATTTCCACGGAGGAATAACCGTCGCATATGAGTCAAAGTTGTAAAAGCTAGAATATCGCGGAGATCGTTTAGGCGGGCCGCTTTGTGTCCTCGGTAAAAGGTGTTCCAAGCAGGTAAAACATTCCTATTGAAACGGTTCTACCTGACCCACCTGGCTTTCACGCTACATTTTCGGCTCGACAACAGTTTCTCCCCATGCATATGGATATCAAAAAAGGACTAGCTACATAAAACGCAGAATCTCCGTTAGCTAGATCAGAAATATAACGCGAACGATCTGTAGATATATTGAAAACAAAATTTTCATTAATTACACTGATTAGATAAAAAAATTAAAGTATCTTTAATTTATAGTATTCAAGCACGAGTATATGTTTGACAGTTAATAGCGCATATATATATTTGATTGGTCGACGAATTATCTTCAAAGAAAATTCGAAGGGAGATCCTAAGTTGGCTGGAAGTATTGAAGAAGGTTCTCGAAATCACAGCTTAAGAACCCAATATCGAAGGCTTTCGAAAAAGCTTGGATATTACTTGTCGACTGTAAATCTCTCCCTTTGGAAGACCGCCTTCATTCGATGAATGATATTTCTCAACCGTAACGTATTTTCTTTGCATGTACGTCAATTCTTTAAAAATACGACGCTCGAAGTCGAGCGATTTATTTTTTATTTTTCATCTTATTTTATTGTATCTTTCATTAAGATAAATTTCAATTCGATTAATCACATTGTAGTTTCGAACGTGGTCATAGAGCGACGCGACAAGAATTAATTGCTCCTGATTTTGAAACTAAACGTGGCTGGGTGTCATAGATAGTTTTGGAGAACAGGAAACGTGCGACGGGGCTGTTTCTTCGCTGGACATCCGGCTCGCCACGCGTCTGCGTGTGTCTTGCTTGACGTCACAACACACACCTGCTTCCTCACAGCTGTTCCCCAGTCCGTGGTGGCAAACTCCCTTGACAAATAGTTTTATACCACCGCGTCCATCTCCCTTTAGAATTTTTCTTTTTCGAAAAATCTCGGTCGCCGTGCTTGGACTATTCCTTCCGTTTCACAAGTAAAAAGAGAATTGGATATGTCTTCTTGTAATAACTATTTGACTTCATAAATTACATCGCACATGTGTTTCAAATGCCATGTGTCAAAAGAACATCAAAACCATCGCATCAGGATGTCAAGGGCAAAGAATGTAAAATTACAAAAATAATATTTAACCATTGTTTTCTAGAATTTATTCTTTTTATCAACATTATAAACAGTTTCTCATTTTTTCTGAAAATCTTATTTCAGTGGCGTTACTTTAGGAAAATATGTGCGATATGGTAATTTATTATAAATCTTCATATCCTTTCCTGAAACTTAAAGTTTACAATCAATTTTTTATGAAGATATATCATGGATCTTTTTCTTTACGTATCTGTACTGTGGAAAAAGTATATAGGAGGATAATGGGAGAATCTTGTAACGTGTTGATGAAACGATACTAAATCCTTTCCGGATAATTAGACTCGCGATTCTCCCATAATCTCTGGGTCGTGTCAGTTCGGTTTACGATTTATCTGCTCGGCTGCCTGTCCATTTCATTTTTTATTTATATTTCAGGGAAGTATCGCACTGGGAGCTACCAACCCTCTATGAACGCAAGGATACGTGTTTTACAAACGCCATATACACACACACACACATACATCGATTGATCCAGTCGCAACAGATGCAAGAACTGTGTTATTTCCTTCTTCATCTCTCCCGCTACCGCCTCTTTTTCCTTTGGCTCTCCTTTTTTCTCATTGGGATGCACGTACTCCCCAGAGACATTTCTGGAAGGGATGACGAACCCGACTGGTTAACTAGAGTATTGTTCGATTATTATTTCGGTACATATCGCGCACTTGTTATCTCTTTGTGCGGTCATATGGTGGTCTAAGGGTGATCCCACCGCGGATGACAGATCTGTCGTATGGAATCGTCAGAAGTATCCGTATTCATCCACAATTTCATACTACGTAATATTTCATTCAATCCATACAAGGAATTTTTTACGAAGAATTATTTAAAACACAAATTTTAAATCTAATTTATACCATCTTAGCTTTCGAGGTTCAATAATCATGGTTATTTCTTTCTCATAGATATTTAATTTTGAAATAGTCACTAAGGGAAAACTTCGTAATTTTTTCAACACGCGGAAAACCTTAACGGATGGATAATGATGTTCAGAGCGTATCTGCGGTGAATCGTACGGGGTATTCTTACCTTTCCCCGACCACAGAGTATCGATGATGCTGACGAGGGTGTTCAGAAAGTTATTATACAGGGGCACTCTTCTATTCTATGGTTCCCATGGAACAACATCAGGGGTCTGCAACTTCCATGCAACCTGTGCCAACCTGTAATTTCCGGTCGTAGAACAATCCTCAGTTATCTTTTCACATCATTACCAGTTATCATATCATTGATTGCATCTTCATTCATCTTCGTACTATGTATTCCTTTCTATAATTCTTTACGATTTCATCTTTTTAGATATATCAAAGGCGACATTCCGAAGAGACAACGACGAAGCAAAGGAATGACAGAAAGAAAAAGTATAAGAAAGAAGAAAGCGAAGAAGACGATGATAAAAGGAGAAAGGGAGGACAATGATCCTCGAGAACGCAGAAAACATCTGCTCTGGCTCCGGATCGCAGCGTGTCCTCCTTCAATGAGAGGCGATTGCGTTGTGAAACTTGTCCCACCTCGGCGCGTATAGGTATTCATTATCCTCGTCTCTGGTGCCTGGTCGATCCTTTTTCCGCACGATCTTTTTTGGTCCATGGAACATCTGCGGCAGCTGCGAGGCG